TCACCCTGAGCACTCTGCTTTCCGTCGACCTGGCAGTCTGTGACCCGCGCTCGACCCCCGGGCCAGGGGATCCACTACTGGTGGCGCCAGACGGTGGTGAGGATTTCCCAGCTTCTTCTGGCGCCAGCGTGCCATCGCTGCCTTGGGCGGGTGGTTCTGGCCTGCCAGGCAGAGCACCTCTTCGCGGTCCAGGAATGCCACTGCCGGATACGTTGGTCCGCGCGCCACAGGTTGGTGGCCTTACTTTCGTTGAGGGCCCTCACCGCGGCGACGAGGGCCTGGCCAGGCGTGGCCCAGGCAGCGGCGACATCGCCTGCAGTTACTAGGCGAACGCTCGGGGGCCTCCGAGGGGCCAGGAGGCGCCGTCTGGTTTCTGACGCAGCCGTCGTTGCTCTGTCCAGCGGCGCCGCTGAAAGCGGCAAACGCGGGGAAAGCGGCGAACGCGGGAGAGATGGGGGTTCCCCCTCAGCCCTGGTGAGGCCCTGGGGAGGCCCGCTGGTTTCTGACTCCGCCATCTCTACCAGGTTCGGCCCGCTGGCATCTGACGCCGCCAGGGCCCCCCGCGCCCCTGAGCACGCCACCAGATGCATAGACTAGATCCGACACGTCGCAACTGAGAGCGCAGCGGAATGCTGCGGTAACAGGCGCGAAGCCACAAGGTTCGGCCCGCTGGTATCTGACGCCGCCGTCGCTGCCAGGCCCAAGGGGAGGCGCTGAAAGCGGCGAGAACGAGAGGAATGGACGCCCCCTCCGAGTCCTGGCGTGGCTCGGGGGGGCCCGCTGGTTTCTGATTCCGCCATCGCTGCCAAGTCCGGCCCGCTGGTCTCCGACCCCGCCATTGCGACCCAGCCCGGGGGACATGGAGGTTCCATCAGGGCCCTGGTGAAGCAAAGAGGCCTGCTGGTGTCAGTCACCGCCATCGCCGCCGTGGTCCGGCCCCCTTCCCCCCCCGGGGAGCGCGGGCGGCGCCGCTAAATGTGCCGGTAGCAATGGGGGCATCGGCGCCCTGACCTCGGTCGGGCCCGCGCGGGCGCGACGTCTGCGAGGGGGGGCCGAAAGAAACGGTGCCCCCCGAGCCTCCCATTCCCCCTCCTTCCTGCTCCCCCGCAGCACCACGAAGTGCGGCGGTGGGCGAGATGCCTGCGCGATCCCGCGAATCGGGCCCGCGCGGGCGCAAAGCGGGGGGAGCTGGCGGCGCCCGCGCAGCCGCGCTGGCCGCGCCGACCGCCCAAGGGGCGTCGGCGGCGCTGGCGGCGGCGGCCGAGGGGGCGCCGGCCGCGCCGGCGGCGCCTGCAGGACGGCGTACTCGGGCTGCGCCGACATGCCCAGGGGCGTCGGCAGCGCCCGGGGCGCCCGCGGGGGCGAGAGGGCGAGCGGCCCACCCAGCCCGCGCCGACCGCCCAGGGGGCGTCGGCAGCGAAGGTCGAGGCGGCGGCGCCATCAGCGCCAGAAGCGCTCGCAGCAGCAAGCGCGCCGCCGAGAGCGGCGGCGCCTGTCGCGCAACCAGCACAAGCAGCGCCATGAGCGCCAGAGAGCCCCGGCCGGCCCGCGACGACCGGGGCGCCGGTGGCGGCGGCAGCCAAGCGGCGGATGGCAGCGACACGGGCCTGCCGCCGTCGCCGCGCCGCCGCGGTCTCCATCATGCCAGGGCTGGAGCACCGCACCTGACCAGGGGCGTGGCGGGCTCGAGCCCAGACGGCTTCAGCCAAATGGCTGGGGACACTTCGCAGACACATGCCTACACTTGTTTATGTTGTCCGTCGGCCGCCCATTTTCAGCCTAGGTTGTCCCAGAATGGTTTCTAGACGGCCACCGGGCTCCAAGGTAGCTTTAACATCGCCCACACGGAGCTCCAACATCGCCCATGACGTCAATAGGGTTGCACCGGCGGGGTCGCCCAAGATTGCTCAGGCATGGCCCAAGACGGCCCAATGATGCCTCAAGGATTCTCAGGATGGCGTACACATGTCCCTAATTGTCACCAGCATCGCCTCTGGTGGCCCGAACGGCGGCGCCCAGGGGGGCCAAAATGATCAAAATAATGATTATGGGTGTCATTTGTTTTCCTGGCCAAGTGTGTTTGTTAATGGCCCCAATAGTTTGCTGTTTTCCTGGCTCCATTTGTGTTCGTGCCTGTCCTAATTTGTTGTTCGTTGGCCTCCGAAGAAAGCGCCAAGGAGGTCCCAAGGTATTCCCTGGCTGGCTACCCCAGAGGGGTGGTGCAGAGAGCGCAGCCCTCAACGCGAAAACAACCACATTTCTTCAACAAAACAGGAGCCCTGTCAGAGTACCGCTTGGCTGACTGATGGAGTCTGTATCCAGTTTCATATCAGAGCTCTTCACAGCCTCAGGCAGACCTCAGGCGGGCCAAGACCGCACCAAGACAGATGAACGTTGTGCCAACACCATTGCAAGACAGCGCCAAAACTACTCGAGACTTCGAGGTCTCGAGAAGCCACCCAAAGAAGACCCAAGAAGGCCTGAACAAATCCCAAGAAGGCTCCCGAAAGGCCCTTCAGGCGGCTCCAAACATTGAGATCCGACCGTCAAATGCTCCTTGTCTCCCGAAGATTTGATGCTCTAATTTGGAGCCAGGGACGCTTCAGACTGCCCCGGGACGGCTCCCGATGGACTGAGAAATCTCCAGGACAGCCACAATTCGAAATGTACGAAAATGTTGGTAATAAGGGGGGGTAGGGAATCAGCTGCGTGCAGCTCGCTTACAAAGCGTCTCTCGGCACCCGAGGCGGCTGCAATGTATCTGGGGAAGTGCCTGGCGATGGCGTCTAAATCAACGATGTCCGCGTGGATTTCTTTGGCCTGCGCCAGACCCCCTCTGTAGCATTGAAACGAATACCCAATCTGTCCGGGGCTTCGAGGGCTCTCGGCTCCGTCTTCCGCAAGGTCTTGCGACTGCGGGCCGCTCTCTCCCTTGTGCGCCTCCGAGGCCCTGCATTGCGGAATCTCGACTGATGGTTGAAACATATCCGTCGGTCGTCGCCTTCGGCATTGCCGTCGCCGCCGTCGCCGCCGTCGCCTATGACACTGTCGTCGCCGTCATCGTTGCCGCCGTCGTCGCCGTCGCCGTCGCCGTTATCGACACCGTCGCCGCCGTCGGCACCGCTGTAGCTACCGCCATCCTGGGGCTTCAGTCGGGCCTCCGTTTGATGGTCAAGACGCCGTGGGACTGTCGTCTCGAGCGACGGGGGACTCAGCTTCTTGAGTAAATGCTAGGGATACGTGCGTACATTTCGTATACGCGCATGGGGGTGTGTCAGTCCAGGCAGGCATCCTTGAAGCAGCAGAGAACTGGCTAGAACGAAGCCTCAAATCTCCGTCGTCATGTTCATCCCGCGATGTTCGGCTGATACGGCAGACGTGCGCATGGTTAGAAACTGCGGTGTACCTAGGATGGTGACAGACCTCGTGCCCCTGAGGGAAACGGATCCCTGTGATTCGGGGCTGTTTTCGGCATCCAGGGGGCCTCTCCTAGCCCTGGGACCGTCAGAAACTACTCAGCACGAAGAGCTGGTCCTCGGCGAACGCCCTTTCCCTCACGACTCATGTGCTTCATGCCAAGAATGTCGGGTGTTGCTTAAGTCTACGACTACTTCCGAGCCCTTCCCCGGTGGGTCAAATCAGCGCTGGGCTACCAAACACCCCCGCTGGCGTTCGCCTGGCTGCAGGCATCATTCGAACTCTGCAGCATGAGGGGTATGTAGGATGAGGTAGAAGAAGGATGCGGAGTAGGATAAAGAGGAAGAGGATGATGATAATGATGATGATAATGAGGAGGCAGAGGAGGAGGAGAAATATAATGAAGATGATGAGGAAGGGAAGAGGAGGAGGAGGAGGAGGAGGAGGAGGAGGAGGAGGAGAAAGAGGAATATGAAGATCGCGAAGACGCGGACGACAACGACGGCGGCAGCGCCCGGGCAGGTGCGAGTTCACCAGCCAGGCTCAGCGCGTCGCGGGCGACCAAGACACGGTGTACCTGTCTGACGAGATGCCGCTCAGCCGCGAGCTGCAAAGCCTGGGCACAACGTGCGCTGGGGGCAACGAGCCCATCAGTGCCCTCTGGCACTGCCACCTAGCCACACTACTGAGAGTCCGGCGGAGGTCGCGGAACCCGCGCAAGAACTTCGGCAGCGTGCAATGGCCTCCCTGCGACACGCCAAACGAATCCGACGACCGACCCACGATCCGCCCACGGCGGGCTGTTCTGCATTGGGGAGTGCCGTTGTTCTTTTTCCGCCCGCACAGCCCGTCGATGGCTTCCCCGCATGGCCACGCGTTCGGTGGTCGCTCTTCGCTCCGATCTGCCAAGCATGGGCCCAGGTAAGTCTTGAGAGAGGCGTGGGCACTCCTCTGGGCAAGCCTCACGCAGACCAGGGTCGGCCCATACGACTTTAGGGGCAAGCCCCTCCGAGCGCAACCAGGAGATCGGCATACCCCATGGTCGACAACGATTGTCGACCCCCAGATCCTTTCCAGGGTGTGCTCTGACCAGGTCGTGTCGGACCCAGCCGTGGCAACAGTGGCGCCCCACCCCGACCCCCCGAGAGAAAGGCAGGAAATGCCCGGTATAGTAAGGATACACGATAAGGATTCAAGGGCCTTGGAAGCCCATTTCGACACTTTGCGAGCGGGGCGCGGCCAGCGAAAGCGGCCAAGGATGTGCCAAAGGGGTAGGATGCATGGGCAACCTTGGAACATCGCTCATCCTTACTATGCGGGTTGGCTGCATCTCGGAGGTCAGCATGGCTTTCTTGGATTGGCGCTGGACCCCGCTCCCTGACGCCCTGCAATTGCCAGGGGCGGTGCTGGAGGCTCCGCCAGAGGAGCAAACGCCGATCCAAGAAATCCCCGAGGGAACCCGCGCATTTCAATTCACGCAGCTTTAGGTCTTCGAAGGGAGCGCCCGAAAGCCTCGATCCTCCACCCTCGGCCCACGATCCTCGGCGGCAGCGGCGACGACGACCCGGGTTGAGGGCGCTGGCCTCGGCTTTGTCCTTTTCGATTTCCTTCTGGATCAGCTTGGCGTGCAGGTCCACGTCCACCCCTGCAGAGATCCTGCGAAGGGGCCCGGACCCACTCTTGTCGTGAAGACATCGCGGCGGAATTGGCCCAGGGAGGTGCCCAACCCATGTGCACCGAGGGGCATCATCAATGGGCTCGTGAGGGCCGTGTGGGGAACCTGAGGCGATACCGAACAAGAGCGAACTGCAGGCGTAACACGACACTCCGCTGGAGTCCGAGGAGCTCATGAAAATGGCTACAGCTGAGGCCTTGGCAACGCCCACAAAGGGAATTTCTCGCCTGGTCAGGGCAACACGGCACTCCGAAGGGCCTCCATGAGCTCACGACAGAAGCGGCGACTGGTGCGCAGTTAGCAACGCCCATGCATGGGGGAACCAAAAGGTACCAATAACGTCACTCCCCGGACCTCTCCCAGGGTGCGTGCTGACCAGAATCCCACCAGCTCTCTGGGCGGAGGTGGTTTAGCGAGCCCGTCCTGTTCCACCCCCTTCTTCCCACTCGGGGAGGGGATTACCCCTCCGCGTACCCCCTCCCCCTGGGCCTGGAGGGGGGGGGGCGCGGGTGGTTGGAGCATCTGGTCTGGCCTTAAGATGGCGCCAAGACTGCCCAAGAGAGCTCAAGATGACCTCCAAGATCGCTCCAGATAGCCCTCGATGACTCCAGATAGCTCCTAACAAGCCTAGACGAAGCTCCAAGACCGCCCCAAGACGGCTCTAAGCGGCCACGGAGACTCCCAAGGACGCCCCGAAAGGCCCAAATCCTTCAAAAACACCTACAGAAAATGAGCCTTGAGGCTCCAGGATGGCCCGAAGATGGCCCAGCAGAGCCCCGAGACAGAGCCCCGTGCGCTCCAAGAGGGCCCCAGAAGGCGACGTGTCGGGTTCCGACGGGGGGGCCCCATGATGGTCCAAAGAGACCTCCCTGACCCCCCCAAAGAGCCCCAAGAGGGCCCCAAGACCCGTCAAAAAAGCCCCACGGGTGCCCCAAGAGGCACCACGAGGACCCCAAAAGGGCCCAGAGACCTGCAACATAGCCGCCAGGAGCGACAAACCCAGAAACGCCTTCATGGTTGACTTCGTCGTCGTCGTCGTCGTCACCTTCGGCTTCGTCGTCGTCGGAGGCGACATCGCTGTCCCACGGGACCTCCAAAATACTCACGAGAAAGCCCCAGGATACCCCGCAGATGCCTCCAAGAAACCCTCGGAGCGAAAGACGCACAACAGCCTTGATGGTTGACTTCTATCGTCGTCATCGTCGTCGACATCGTCGACGTCGTCGTCGTCGTCTTCGTCTTCGTCGTCGTCGTCGTCACCGTCCTCGTCGTCGTCGTCTTCGTCGTCGTCGACGGCGCCGTCGTCGTCTTCACCGTCGTCATCGTCGTCGCCGTCGTCGTCGGGTGCGCCTTCGTTATCCTGGTCGTCGCCGTCGTCCTCCTCGTCGTCGCTATCCTCATCTCTCCGCACGCCGCCTTCTCTTCCGCCTGCGTCGCCTCGTCCTCCTCTCATTGCCCATGCAAAAATCACAATGTACAAGAGAAGGTAGGTAGGAGGTGGGCAGAAGAGGAGGAGATATGCGAGAGCAGGAGGAGACACGCCCGAAAGTCACTTCCGTTGGTGTGCGTCGCAAAGTGTGATGTTTTGGGATGGGCTGGTGGGGATACTTTTTAGCCAGCGGCCGCGGGCGAGCGTGCCAGCGGCGAGTCCAGTCAAAGCGGGGCACGCAGGCTGGTGGGGATACGGGAGGCGTAAACACTTTCAAAACGAATCCAGCGGTGGCGACGAGGGCCTCGCGTGCTGCAAAACCAAAAGAGGGATACCCACGGAGGGCGAGGTCCCCTTTGGATCCCCGACAGAACATCCAGGGAGGGCGATGTCTCCCCTGGATTGTTGTAAGACGTTTCCCCGCCAGGCCTCGCAGCAACCCCCGACCGTTGCGAGAATTGCGCAGTTGCCAACACCCAAAGAAAGCGACGTCTCGGTTGGAGCCCTGTGGAACGCCATGCCGCTGGGCCTCATTTGCTCACGGAAGCGACAACATATTCGCAGTTTACACCACCCAGGGCGAGGCGGAGCGAAGTCTCGCATTGGTCCCCGTAGGACGTCCTTCCGCTGGGCCACCGACGAGGCTCACGAAAGTGACGGCAACTGCGCACTTGTCAGCACACACAGGGAGGCAGATGTCTTGTTCCGATCCGCGCCTGGACCTCCCAGGGGCTCACGAAAGTAGCGACAATTGTGCAGTTGACAAACAGCACCCAGCCAGGGAGGGCAGTGATGCGTTCGGGTCCACTGAAAACAAGGAGTCATCCCGATGGGCCTGCCAGGAGCTCAGGACAGAGGCTGCAATTGCGCAGATTTCAATATCAGAGAGGGCGAGGTTTCGTTTGGGTCCTCGTAGGGCGCCACCCCTCAGAACTCCGCAGCAGCTCACGAAACTGGCGACAGTTGCGCAGTTGAGAGCACCAGGGTGGCGTCGCAGGGAGCAGGGAGGAGGCGGGAGCTCGGAGGCAGGAGAAGGACAGTGGTTAGATGCGGTAGTGGGGAGGGGGCGGAAGAGGGCGGGATGAGGAGCAATGAGCAGCGGTACTCTCCACAAAACGAAGACCCAATCAAAGAGAAAGTAGGTATTCCCGCGTTCAGAGGCGCTTACAGGGCCTCGGGACCCTCAAACAACGACTCGGGAGGAACACACAATTTCAGGGGAAAGGGTCAAGGCCTTCAAGGGCCCCCGACTGACAACCACAACGACTGGCAACCACAACCCTCCGACGACGACGACGACGACGACCCCCGACTGACAACCACAACGAACGGCAACGAATGCCGACGGCGACGGCGACGGGCGGCGGCGACGGACGACGCCCACGACGGCGACGACGGCGACAACGACGTCGACGTCGACGGCGGCGGCGTCACGGGCACAGGTTGGAGGCGGAGGTCCTGGGCGGCGGCGGCGCCATCCCCGCGGACGTTCTGCTTAGCCGCAGCCCCGACGACGAGGTCGACGGCGGCCTCGCGGGGTGCCCCCCTCCGGGGGGGAGCCCTCGCCGCCACGGCTGGATGCGCGTCGGAGCGCTGGCCGAAAGGTTAGAGCGCGGCCAGGGGGAGGTGCGCGGAGGGGATCTATCCGCCACCATGCCCCCCTGGCACGTGGAGGCATGGTAAACAACCGAGGGCTGGCACCCCTTCCTCGAAGCACTCCGCCGCATGCATCGACTCCCTCTCTCTCTCTCTCGCGAGGGTCCCAGGGCGCACCCTCTTCAGCGTCTCAGACGCCAAAGACGGCCCCGGCAGCCCACCAAGGCCGCCAAGATGGCCCCAGATGCTGCCAAGACGGTCGAATGTAGTCCCAGGACGGCCCAAGATAGTGCCGAGACTGCCCAAGAAGCCTCCAAGAGGGCCCAGGAGGGCTATAAGAGGATCCCCAACAGGGTCCGATGAAGCCCAAACCATTGGTTGTACTTTCTATGGCTGATTCTCGCCTTTTTCGGGCTTCTGCGAACTCGAGACGGCCCAAGAAACCTCTAATTGCCAAGATGGCCCTAAGAGGCCCCCACGAGGATGGCCCAAGAGGCCCCCAAGACGGCGCCAAGACGGCCCCACGGCGGCCCCAAATCACCCCCGATACGGCTAAGAGGCCCCCAAGACGGCGCACGAGAGCCCGAAGACGGCCTAAGAGGGCCCCAAGGGATCCCCAATATTGCCCGACAGGAGCTCAAGAGCGTCTAAGGGCGGCCCAAAAGAGCTCAATGAGAGCTCCTCAAGAAGTGAAGAAAAATTGTGTAACATGTGCTGGCCTCTCTTCCTCTTCCTGCTGCTCTCCTCCTGCTCCTCCCCCCTTCTCATTGCCACGATCATCATCCTCAGAATCCTCATCATCCACAGCAAGGCTCTCCCAAGCTTTGGCAAACGAGGTGTCACGTGAAAAGGCCTCCCGTACCCCCTCGAACAGTCGCCACAAATAGATAGATGTCGGACCATGAGTGAACCAAGAGCGAGAGTGAATACCGCCCAAGGATGTGTTCCTGCCCCCGTCTAACTTGAATCCGCCGGCCCCCTTGTGGGGCCACCAGGCTGTAGGCGCGGGGTTCGCAGCCTCCTGTACCAGTTGTAGCTTGTAGTTTCCAGTGTTACAGTTCTGCTTCTTGCTGGTTACTGTAACTAGTTGATTGTTCTCCTTCTTGCTGGTTACTGTAACTAGTTGATTGACCGCGCGAGGGTGGGGGAGGCCCAAACCGGCTTTTTAGCGTCCCCTGGGCGCGTTGTCTGAATTGCTGGGGGTGCTCGAAATCGCACCCCCTCACGCAGATCCGCGGGGTCAGGGTCCAAAACCACATGGGATTTGCCACATTTCTGAAATTCGGTGCCACCCCTCACGCAGATCCGCGGGGTCAGGGTCCAGAAACACAAGGGATTTGCCACATTTCTGAAATTCGGTGCCACCCCTCATACAGATCCGCGGGGTCAGGGTCCAAAAACACAAAGGATTTGCCACATTTCTGAAATTCGGTGCCACCCCTCACGCAGATCCGCGGGGTCAGGGTCCAAAAACACAAAGGATTTGCCACATGTCTGAAATTCAGTGCCACCCCTCACGCAGATCTGCGGGGTCAGGGTCTAAAAACACAAAGGATTTGCCACATTTCTGAAATTCGGTGCCACCCCTCACGCAGATCCGCGGGGTCAGGGTCCAAAAACACATGGGATTTGCCACATTTCTGAAATTCGGTGCCACCCCTCACGCAGATCCGCGGGGTCAGGGTCCAAAAACACATGGGATTTGCCACATTTCTGAAATTCGGTGCCACCCCTCACGCAGATCCGCGGGGTCAGGGTCCAAAAACACATGGGATTTGCCACATTTCTGAAATTCGGTGCCACCCCTCACGCAGATCCGCGGGGTCAGGGTCCAAAAACACATGGGATTTGCCACATTTCTGAAATTCGGTGCCACCCCTCACGCAGATCCGCGGGGTCAGGGTCCAAAAACACATGGGATTTGCCACATTTCTGAAATTCGGTGCCACCCCTCACGCAGATCCGCGGGGTCAGGGTCCAAAAACACAGGGATTTGCCACATTTCTGAAATTCGGTGCCACCCCTCACGCAGATCCGCGGGGTCAGGGTCCAAAAACACATGGGATTTGCCACATTTCTGAAATTCGGTGCCACCCTTCACGCACATCCATCGCAAGGCGTGGTAACCCAAACTGCGAGAACTCCCTCGGCCCTTTAATCGCAAGGTGTGGTAACCAAGCCCGTAAACCATACACGTCTTACCAATCGCCAGGTGTGGTAACCCCTCTTGTGATCAGTTGGTTTTGCTGATTGCGAATCGGCTTCGCATGAAGTTTCGATACTGCTTCACGACAGCGCCAAGGCCTCATGACTTAGCTCTTCCATGGCCCATTCTCCGAGAGAGGGGGCCGGCGGCAGGGGGCGAAGCCCTTACGGACAATTGTGGGGGGATGGAAGACAATTCTTTGAGGGAAAAGTGAGGAGGGGTGAGGTGGGAAGGAAACTGCCATTCGCTAAGGAATGAATGGGGGTGAGGGGGACAGGAGGATGCACGATGGAGAAAGGGAAGAGGTCACCAAGGTCGCCATTCTTTGAGGGAAGAGGAGGAGGAGGAGGAGGAGGAGGAGGAGGAGGAGGAGGACGAAGAGGAGGATGGGAGGAATGATCAGGGAAGAGGAGGGGGGGAGAGAACTGGGGGAGGTCGCCAAGGCCGTCATCCTCCGAGGGTAGAACAGGAGGAGAGATGGGAGGGGGCGGGGAGAAGGGGAGAAGGGGAGGGGGTCACCAAGGCCGCCATTCTCTGAGGGAGCAGGAAGAGGAAGAGGAGGAAGAGGAGGAGGAGGATGGGGAGAAGGACGGAAAGGGGAGGTGGTGGGGGTGGGGGGAGCATGGTGGTGGGGGAGGAGGACGAAAAGAGGGAGGAGGTGGCGGACGGAGTAGGGAGAAAGGGAGGAGATCACCAAGGCCGCCAGTCTGTCTGCAGCCGGAAGAGGAAAAGTGCCCCCTGCCGAAAACAACGGATTTGGCAAAACACCGAATTGATTCTTGCAAGCGGCTGTGTTACAGGAGCCCCGGGATTCCCCAACCAGTTCTTCCACTGAATGGGGCCTCGCGGGTATTACAAAGGTTTGGTGCAATCGTCCCGCCGATTTCGGCAGGCAGCAAGGATCCGGAGTTTCCAATTCTCGGGTTCCTGGTTCCTGGATTCCCAGTTTCGGTCGGCTTCCCAGGCCCTCGATTACAGGCAGGCTTAGCGGCTAGACAGTAAAGAGGGCACATAGATAGTATACAGCACTTAAGGGAAACCATAATGCAGCTGGCAAAAAGCGGATGTATACATCTATATATGCATATAATGTAAACTAAACCACGCTCGCGCTTCGCGCGCGCTTAGGTTCTAGTAAACTCGAGTTGTAGACTAATGTGTTCGGCATCGGAGGACATAGATTGCCCCACGGACCGTGCATATCAGGGGGCTCCACCGGCGGCCCCAGAGGCAGGCTTGGCTTACACAGGGTCCCCCGCCCATGTTGGCACACCCCTCACAGGGATATCGCCCCACAGGGAGCTCCACCTACGTCCCAGAGACACAGCTCGCACGCGGATCGTTGCAAGTGAGTGAGTGCATTTGCGGCCCCAGAGTGGAGCTTCATAGCGTCGCCCCGCTCACTTCGGCACATCTCTCACTCGGATCGTGGCCCACAGGGATCTCCACCTACGGCCCCAGAGGCAGGGTTCGCACTGCGCCCCCCCCCGGCCATTGCGGCACACCCCATCGCGCGGATCGTGCCCACAAGGCGCACCACCGAAAGGTCCAGAGACAAGGTTCGTACAACGCCCACCCGCCCATTCCTGGGCACACCTGTCACGCGAATCATGCCTACAAGGAGCTCCACCTATGGCACAAATGGGCAGCTTCGCATGGAGTCCCCGCGCCCATTTCGGAACATGCCTGGCATGGGGCGTCCCTGGAGAAGGTCCACCTGAAGCCTCAGTGGGCCTGTTCGCGCGGCCCGTAACCCGAATCGTGCCCCACAAGGAGTTCAGCGCAACTGTGCACGCGTGTGCCCCGCGACAGCCATCTTTCCGCATTGCCCCGCGGCGCGCAGCAGTGTATGAAGAGAGACCCGCGCCCTGCACTACACATGACTGCATAAAGATGGGCTTGTCGCCAAACAAACTGCTTGCGTGTCCACGGCCTTGGGCCCGTACCGCTACTGTGCCTGAACTTTGAGCCCGAGGATTCTTGGATACATGTAATCTGGAGTCTCTTGGCATGCCTCTCGGGCGCCTCGTGGAGCGAGCTTTGAAGCTTCTTGTGCCCTCATGTGAGCCCTGTGGGGTCCCTCGGGCCTATTTTGGGACACTTGGGGGCCTATTGACTCCCTGCTGCAGCCTCGGGGCCCACTCATGACGGAGGGCTCGAAATGTCAGTCGGAGTTCTCCATTTTGGACTCCCCTTGGGGCCGTCTTGGGCCGTCTTTTTTTAAACAAACCCAAAACTCAACGTTGGCACGTGGTTGGGAAAAAATCACCTCATCGAAATCCCATGGCACAACTCCCCACTGTCGCCACAGTGCAGTCACCTACTCGAGAGACGCTCGCTGAAGCACGGCGGCCAGGAGAGCAGCCGAGCGGGCTACTGGAAGCCTTCCTCGGGAAGAAAAGCTGGAGCGAGATGGCCAAGAGCGCAGCGCGTGTGCGCCGACCTAGATATAGCTCCTGAGATGTGCCAACAGGCACTGCATGTGCGGGGTAAACGGCAGGGCCGCCACCAAAAAAACGAATTCAAGGGCGTCGCGCCCTCAAATGCAGGAGCAGCTGGCAAGTATTACCGCGCAGCGTCTTTCGAGACGCGCCAGGCCCAATCTCAGAAGCAAAACCGCCCCGAGAGGAAGAAGGAGGAGAGGCCGAGAGCGAAGGACGGGAGGGCATGAGCACGACCGCCATCCCACCACCATGCCGCCGGCGAGGACGCTGGCGAGGCGGCTGGCGACGCGGCCATCCTCGCTGCGCGAGGGCTGGGAGCAGATACTGGTAGCGCGCACAGGTGGCCTCCTCCTCCACCTCCTCCACTAGATGCGTGTCCTTTCTCCATCCAGACAGGCAACGTGCACGGGCAAGGCACACAAAATTCGGTCGCGATGCCCTCTACAAGCCGCCGACAGCACCCTAAGCGACCATGCCGATTGCGGAGCAAATCGAGAAGGTCAGAACCTACTGGTTGAGGCGCACGCTGGCAAACATTGGCGCACGTGCCCTCGTTATGGCGTGCGGGTTGGTCCACGCCTCTACAGCATCAGAATCGCGCGAAGAACAAATCCGGACCTCCGACGTCGTGATGTTTGACGATGCGTGGGCCCTCTAGCTCCCGACCCCTTCTCCAGGGCCGGCTCAACGTCGGTGGCCGTGCCTCGATGGCAAGAGACCTCCAGAAGTCGCGCGTCCCCCCCAATGCCCGGTAGTGACCCCCCCCCCGGTTTTCTGCCAGCAGCGAGAGGGCGCATAGACCCACGCGCGAGGAATGTGGCAACCTTGAAACACTTGGGGTTGCCGCCTCTGGCGGTGACATTAAATTGCCGCGCAACGGCATCGTCCCGGTATCATACACTGTCTGTATAACTCGCACCTTTCGGAAATCATGTCGTGTGCGACCACGCGTCTTGGGAAGTTGCATGCATCCTAGGGTATTGTTGCCGTCCTCTCTACGCTCAGGTCACACAAGCTCGAACAGCAAAGGTTCGAGGCGAGGGGCCCAACTCAGGAAAAGATGACATACCCTAACTCAAAATCGCCCCTGGGAGGCTCACAGCTCCCAGGGTCTGGGCCCATGTTGTCCAGAGTGAATAATTACTCGAACAAAGATGTATCTTCATTTCCATCCCACCCCATCCCTTGTAATAAAACACCTCAAAAAACCTTCGGCCGATCTAGAGCAGAACTCAAACATACCGCAAGCTCTCCACACTGGGAGAATATCATTAGGACAATATGCTCGTCGCAGGCGTGCGAAGCCGCAAGGCTTCGTTCCCTTGTTGAGGCTGGCGACCTAGGGTGGTCTTGGCCAGCCTGGGCGACCGCTGCTTCACTAGACGAGCATCCAGATAGCGTTCGTGGCGCTGACTATGCCCCTCTCCGCGAGCTTCGCCACGTGGCAGTAGTACGTGTACCAATGCCGCTCGCCGATCGTCAGCTGATAGCTTCCCACGTACGCCTCCAAGGATCCGCTGCAGAAGATGACGCGCACCAAGCTAATGATCAACATCTGCTCAAGGGTGATCGACGACATCTCGAACATGTTCCAGAAAAAGATCTTGATCTTCGTGTCATCCAAGGAATCCTTCGTGTCATCCTTCGTGTCATCCTCGAGGGCGTTTTCGCTGACCAGCACGTCAGAGAAGTCTTTCTCCAACTCCGTGCGGTTCAGGTTGATGATCCTGATTATGTCCTCCTGGTCTGCAAGGGGCTGCTCGATCCACTCGGCGCTCCCGCTGGCGACGGTGTCTTGAGCCTGAGTCGCTGCGGGCGTTCTGTCCTCCTGGTCTGCAAGGGGCTGCTCCATCAACCCGGCGCTCCCGCTGGCGACGGTGTCTTGAGCCTGAGTCGCTGCGGGCGTGAGGATGTCTCCAAGACCTTTCCGCATTTGTTCCCATGTCATTCGGTTCACGAGTCCGTAGAAGACGCTGAACACAATGGGAGCAACGATGGTGGCCCAGCTCTGCATCAGGAAGAAGTAGCAGAAGGGTGCGATCAGTGACCACCAATACCCGTAGGACTCCTTGGCCCAAGCCCACAGGCCGAAGGACACGATGCAACCGATGAGCGAACAGCAGCAGTTCCAGCTCACAGTACAAAGGTGAAGACACATTGCCAACTTTGTGGAGCAAAGCCAAAGGAGGTAGACCAACTTCAGAGCGACCTTGAAAAACACCTTTCTGAAGATCAGGTAGGGCGACAGGAGGAGGAAATAGAGATGCTTCTCGCACCGGAACCACTTCGCGCCACCTGGCATCAGGGGAAGTCATCCAAGGGAGCTGTACCTCACCTTTGGCAATCCCAGCAACTTGACCGGATTTTCGTAGGTCACTTGGGAAACCAACGCCCTGGCAGCAACGTAGTTGGAGGATGTTGCCACGATGATTGCCAGACAGCACATCCTCTTGAAGAAGCCGTCCATGTCCTTCGTGGCCTGGGTGTACAACTGGAAGTCGTGTTGGAAGCCGTTGCAGGCCATGGCGAAGAAGCCCAACTGACACATGAACTTCACGACCTCCTTCATGTTCTTCACGATGTCGTAAGAGCCAACCGTCCGAAGGAAGCCGTGCGTTGTCCTCGTCGCGCAGAAGCCGTCCCTTTTCAGCATTGCTGCGACGACATCTTTCTTGAAGCGGATGATGAACCCGAAGATGCTCATGGTCAGTGTGATCTTGATGCCGAAGAAGATCGGCATCAGGTAGTACGGCTGCAACTCCTGCGGCCTCAGCGCTGCACTCACGAAGTCCTCCTCGAGGTGCCCGCCGCTCTTGTCATAGACAACCGTCTCGTCGTCGTCGTCCTTGCCGCCTTCGCCGCTCGCAGTCTTGGCCTTGAACTCCGCGCTGTGATGGTCGTCGTCGTCCGTTCCGCCTTCGCCGCTCGCGGTCTTGGTCGTGCTCTCGGCGTTGTGGTGGTCTTCGCCGTGCGCTTCCGTATCCCCGTGGCCATCCGTGCTCCTCAGGGCCCGGGTCAGGCCGCCCGGCGGCGCCGCCGCGACGCGCCTCGCGTCGCGGGTCCCGCCGCCCCGGCGGCAGGGGCGCGCGCGGCTAGCGCCACGGTCATCAACAGCACGGCGGCAACCGAGGCGGCGGACAGTCTCGCACCGAGCGGGGCTGCTGGCGGCGGGGCCTGGGCACGAGCGGCGATGCCTCGGGGTCGCGGCTGGAGTCCGCCGTCTCCTCGCTCGCCATGGCGTCGAAGGGAGGCTGCAGCAGCAAGCAGCTGCTCCCTTGAGCCAAAATGGCTACGGAGGGCCGTCTTGGGCCGTCTTGGGCGCCTCTTGGACCGTCTTTGGGCTCTCTTGGGCCGTCCTGGGGCCTTCTTGGAGGCCTCGTGGGCCGTCTTGGGGCGATTTGTAAGGCCTCTTGGGCCGTCGTGGATGCTGTTCCGACCCAAAGTGCGGATGTGTAGAACAAGGCTCGTGTCCCTCGAGAATGAAACAAGTTTGGCCTCCCGGGGCCCTCTCGGGGCGCGCATCTAGGAGCCTTCTTAGGACATCTTCGGGGGCTCTTGACCCGTCTTGAAAGAACTATTGGGGCGTCTTCGGCCCCGTCAGGCCGCTGTGGTCGAAGTCTGGCTCCCTCCGGAGCAATCTGGAGCGGCGGGGGGGAGGCCGGGAGGCCCCAGAAGGGGTCAGTCATGTCGTGGGTCAAAAATGGGGGAAAATCTGGGTGTCCCCGCCCGGGCCCCGGCCCCAGGTACCCCCGCATGTGTATATCTGTAAACGTGTGTATACACAGTATGCATACCCATACACACAGAAAATATATAATCACTCCTGATCGATACCTATGTGTTATATATTATCTATATGTATACAAATACATGTAGAATGCGGGACGCCTGGGGGCCCTCACAGGACCCTGGCGTCCCTGTCTGCCCCGTGCACTACAGTATGCCTCCTTTCGATGCGAGTCGGGCGCAGGGACTTGGAAACATCGAATACATGTTCTAAAAAACATGCTTCTCTTCCTTCCTCCTCCTTTCTTCCTCATCGCCGTGAACATTCACTGGGTGGTGCGATTCAGTCACAGCCCCACTGACATACAGACCCACACATGCTTTGAAACTGAAGTCAGAGGGCACCAATCACGCGCATTGAGCCTGGACCAACGGCCCCAGAGGAAGGCAAGGTTCACAAAACCACCAATTCCGGCACGGCCCTCACACGGAATGTGCCCGCCCCTCGTGAGCTCCACTTCCTGATCCAGGGACAAGGTTTGCATGGCGTCCCTCCCCCCCTTCTCGGCGCACCCTTTACACGGATCGTGCCCCAGAGACCTTTCGTTCCACGTGCGGCCCGAGTGGGAAGGGCCGAATAACGTCACGTTCCCCTGTGTATGTTGACTCCCCGTGGAGCTCCACCGACAACCCCAGAGCCAAGGCTCGCATCCCGCCGCACCGCCCCTGTCCGAACACCCCTGACCTGGATCGTGGCGTCGGGGCGTCTTCGGTGCCTCTCGTGTCCTCGCGGCGTGCTTCTTAGTGGTATCTCAAAGTCCTGAAATGGATCTTGTGCTGGGGGCCTCTGAAATCCTCTGGGAACGCCGTGCAGGATGTAGATGCGAGACGTCTCATACACTTCTGGGGCTCATTGGGGGGCCTCCTGGGAGCCTCCTGGAAGCATTTCGAAAGTTTTCTTCTGTGGAAAAACAAGCCTGACCCCCTGAGCCTGCCACCACAATGCGCAGCGGAGAAGCGTGAAATAGGAGGCGGATGAGGAGGACAGAAACATGTAGGGAGTATCTTGGGGCCTCTTTGGAAATCTGGGGAACATGTTCGGGGTCTCTCGGGAGCCTCAGGGGGCCTCTTGGAAATCATCCTGGAGTCTGTTGGGAAAGTGATGGGGGCAAAAGCATGTTGGGAGCCGCACTCCTCAAAATAGTCCCCCACGACCCGTTCTGGCACCCTCTTGGCGCCGTCTTAGGATCCTCTTGGCCGCATTGGGGCCCTGCTGAGCTGTGTTTTGGGCCTCGTAGGCGGTCATAGCAAATTCTTGGGTGTCTTTTAGATCGTGTTAGAAGCCGTCAAGACTGGAAAAACACATCCTCTGAAAATTGTTTTTTCCGCACGGGGCGCGGTGATTCTTGCCTCCGGGGGAACCTGGGGGGCTCCTTGGAGGCCTCTTGGGGGCCTCTTGGCGCGTCTTCAGACAGTCTGGGGACGTCTCAGGTGGCGCCAGAGTGTCCCAGACGTAATGTTGAGCGGTCTTGGGACAGTTCGGGGGGCGTCTTGAGGGCATCTTGTGCGCTTTTGGGGCGTACTTGGGTGCATCTTTGGATGTCGCAGGCTGTCCTTGAGCCATCGGGGCCCCTCCTGGGGCTTCTTGGGGCCGTCTTGGCCGGCTCCTGGGCCGTCTTTGGGCGCTCTTTGGCCGTGTTCGAACTTTCTCGGGGGCTCCTTGGGCCGTCTTGGGGCGAATTTAGGGGGCCTCTTGGGCTGCCCTGGAATCTTGAAACATGAAAGCCGCAGATGCCGAAGACGTACCTTTTCCCAAAGGGACGTGGCAACTTTTGCCTCTTGGGGCTCTCTTGGGGGCGCTCATGGAGCCCTCCTGGGGCGTCTTGGGGAGCTCGTGGCTCTTCTTCAAGCCATCTTGGCGAGTCTTGGAGCGCTCGCGGGCCGGCCCTGGCGGCCACTGGAGCCGTCCAGGAGCTCTCGGGGCCGCCCCCGGGAACCCTTGATCCCCCTGGGCCCCCTTAGTGCCAGACCTTGACGCTGTTTTGTGCCCGCCCCCAGGCCGATTGACATTTCAGCTATGTATGTATGTGTATGTTTATGTGTGTATGCATATATACTCATACATATATAGATATATACATATAACATATACACCTATATGTGTATATACATATATGTACCTAAACGACCACCCTTCGGGTGATAAGGAGGTTGTTGGGGGGGAGAGGGGGCGAATCAACATCTGACTCAATCAATCTCACTATCGATGTCACTCAACGGGACACCGCGTCGATCTCACTTTTTGGGACACCACGGGACACTTGTCAATCTCACGGTCGATCTCACTACGGTGAGGGCATGGGATAAGGAATATTTGGATAAGGAAACCAAGGTCTGGAAGCTGGCTGAGGCCATGGATATCACCACCACCCTCATCAGATGAGAAACCCTCCAGGGTCTGAAGCCTCCTGGGAACCTTCCTCAACGAACGCCCCCACCGTATCCATCTCACTCAACGGGACACCACGGGACACCACGGGCCACCACGGGGAACCAGGGGACACCGCGGGAACCCCTTCGATCTCACCATCGGTCTATCGATTTCACGATCGATCTCACTCAACGGGACACCATAGGACACCACGGGACACCACAGGACACCTCGGGACACCACCTCGATCTCACTATCGATCTCACTCAACGGGACACCCCGGGACACCACGGGACACCTGTCGATCTCACTATCGATCTCACGATCGATCTCAGTATCGATCTCAGTATCGATGTCGCGATCGATCTCATTCAACGGGACACCACGGGACACCACCCGACACCACGGGACACCACGTGACACCTCGGGGCACCTCTCTATCTCAATATCGGTCTCACGATCGATTCCACTATCGATCACACTCAACGGTACACCATAAGACACCACGGGACACCCCGGGACACCACATCGATCTCACTATCGATCTCACTCAACGGGACACCACGGGACACCACGGGACACCTGTCGATCTCACTATCGATCTCACTGTCGATCTCACTTTTTGGGACACCGCGGGACACCTCGGGGCACCACATCGATCCCAGCATCGGTCTTTCAAATATCACCATCGATCTCACCCAACGGACGGAACACCACGGGACAACATAGGACACTCAGGGAAACCTGTCGATCTCACGATCGATCTCATAACGATCCCGCTGTTTTGGCCACCGCTGGACACCACGGGACACCTGTCGATCTCACGATCGACATCAGTATCGATCTCAGTATCGATGTCACGATCGATCTCACTCAACGGGACACCACGGGACACCACGGGACACCACGGGACACCGCGGGAAACCCGGAGCCACTGCCAGACGGACGGACGGACGGGCGGGTGGGAGAGAACCATTTGTCTTGACTTCGCCCTGGCGACGGCGGACACCACGGGACACCACGGGACACCACGGGACACCGCGGGACACCGCGAACCACCGCCGAACGGGAGGGCGGGGGAGAATCATTTGTCTTGTCTTCGCCGTGGCAACGGCGGACACCACGAGACACCACGGGACACCACGGAACACCTTGGGACACCGCGAACCACCGCCGGACGGGCTGCCGGGGGAGTCATTTGTCCTGACTTCGCCCTAGCAGCGGCGGGAGTGTGCCTGTATGCACGTACGTATGCTTGTACGTTTTAACATGTGTATGCTTGTGCGCGTGCATGCATGTATGTATGTATGTATGGTTGTTTGAATGCGTGTCTGTATATCAGTATGCGTGAATGTATGTGTATGTGTATGTATATGTGTGTATGCGTATGTGTAATTGTATTCGTATCACTCGTACCTTGAGGAGTCCAGACGGGTCCCACCGAGCAGACCTAGAAGGGCGCTCTAGAACGCTCTACTAGGGTCTGGGCAGCACGCCGTATACTGTAGTGATGCCTCCCGAGAGCCTCCTCACTGTCGAGGGGGCCAAGAGCGGGGGCGGTGCGCACAATATTATATATATGG